GAATTGCAGCATGGCGCCAGTTGTCCAAAATCCTACGGTACCAAAGGAGGGGTTTGGAAAAAGGGTGCCAGGCCGAAAACGGGATGCAGCTGAAACAGCAAAAGATAGACCAGGGATCGAGCCCTGGCGGAGTCCGTAACAACTCAGGTAAGTGCCGTGCTGCCAGGGTGCCCATGTGTGTGTGCATGAAATTGACTGCCTGTTGGGGTATTCTGGGTTCTTCTTCCATCCTCCATAGTCTTGATTGTGTGTGAGGTGTGTGGACTACTTACTCGCCTGATGAGTGAATGGAAGGAGTATCTTGTGTGCCACGCCATATCTTTCTACAGTGCCTTGTCTATTTCATTCTGAACGGCTGTAGTCTGTAGGTTCTTTCTGGGGCTAAATTTCGTTTTTCATTTTTGGTAGGGACAAAGAGTAGGTCTTTGTGGAACTCTTGTTGGTTGGGACCCGGTTCTGACTCCACTGGGACCATTTGGGACTCAGTGGGACCGGGCCTAAACAAGAAGGGCCCCTCAGGCCCAAATCTGTTGACACCAGTTACATTGCTCTATCTGATTGGGACTCGGGATTCATGCTTTCGAACTAGGACACTTGCTGCTGCGGGGATCTCAACTGAGATGTTCTTAACGGATTTTACCGCACGATCCGCCGCCTGACTCGCACCTCGGACACCACTCAATTCTCTCTTGCATTATGTGGTACACTTTGAATCTGATTTGCTATGTCTTCACGGAGCTGAGTCCGGCCAGGCTTGCGAGGACCTCATACGTAGTCGGTCCAGACTGTGTGGCGGAATCAGATCTCTCTGATCTTTATTTTTTTGTTGTTTTGACTGCTTTCCAGTCCAAATGAATTGTCGCTCCGGCTAGGAGTTCTACCTTCCCTTCTAACTGCTTTCAAGACTGTTTCTTTCATTGGGTTCGTTAAATGCCTGCATCTACACGATCGCAAACGAGAGTTAAAACTATGCAGCTGCCATCTTACTGTAATTTGAGGACCAAGACCCTGCAATGAGCCTCAGAGCTCATCACACGATGGAGTGCTCACACTAGCATGCATGTCACACTTTGCACATAGATGTGTAGTAGACCAGATAGCGCAGCTCAATTATCATAACCAGATTTAAAAGAGAGGATCAAGAGTTCAACTGCTCAACAAGATTACAAGTCTTCTTCAATCATCAAGAGTCTCAGCATCTGCGCTCATCAGCACTTGTCACCAACATCAAGTTCAACACTCTTCAGGTAAGTATCAACTGTAGCTCACTCTTTCTCTCTCTTATCTCTCTCTCACTTTGATGGTTCTGGTCTTCGCACTCCTCAGTCTTCTTCTTCTCTCACATGCGCACTCCCTACTACTAACACACACATAAGGATCAACTCTGAATACTACCTACTACTACTAAATACCAACTACATTGCTTCCTGGTGCTGGCGCAGCTATGGCTGCCTTCTTCCCTGCCAGCGCCTACTTCCTCTCTCATCTCCCTCAGCGCTGCTCCCTGGCATAGCGCAGCTCCCACACTAGCGCACAAGTGCACAAGCACTTCCACACTCATGTGAATGAGCATCTGCCTGAATGGTAGGCTGGCCAGTCCTTTTGTAGTCTTGGAATGCACTTCAACTCGTGCCAGACTGGTTCCGGTACCACATCCCCGCGGCCTGTCTGCTTCTTGGGGCCTGACTGGTTCTGGTACCACATCCCCACGGCCTGTCTGCTTCTGAATGCCAAGGCCTGGAACCTTCCCGAATTTCCATGGGTCTGCTGCTGCTTGCGCCTTTGGGTCACGACTTTTCATTTGTGATCATGACTTTTGACTGTGGACTGTGTCTCCTGCCTCTGGGACAGGACTCTTACCTGTGGAACTTCCCTCTTACTCGTAGGGACCTATGCTATAATCCATAACGGGCCAGAAAGGTGACCAGTGATAAATGTAACCTTCTGCTTTGCTGTGACAAGCCAAAAGGATCCCCTCTAGTAGGGCCTCTACTTTGCCACTACAATGGAACATATCTTAAAGAGTTCAGACCACTGGCATTCATGTCAGAAGTGGGCACCATCAACCGGGCTCAGATTTCATTCCTTCTGAGCTGGGCTCAGCAACGGGAGGCGCATTAATTCTGGAAGCGGAGGAGGAAGAGGAGGGGGTGGGATTCTAGATTCGGTGATGCACAAGTGCTCGTAAACTCCATATAAGGAGATTTGAACGCTGAAGTGTTCGCCGCCCGTCAAGGGTACGTGTTCACCCCCTGAGACATTTCCCCCCCGAGACATTTTCGTCCTCCTTCGTTATACCGGTCGTTGATTCGGACTCGTTTGGCTGTTGGAAGGTTCAAAAAATGCAGGCAGTGCAGGCACAACACTTTGGGGGGGGGTGGCAGTTTCTTTGAAAAATGCGGGACTGGTAGCTGCCCGTGCGACCGCACGCTGGTTTTTGGTGGAAACGGTGGCTAAGCAGCGGCAGGGTGGATCTTTGGGGGGCCAGTTTCTTTGAAAAATGCGGGACCGGTAGTAGCTGCCCGTGGGACCGCGCGCTGGGTTTTGGTCGAAACGGCGGCAAAGCAGCGGCAGGGTGGAAAAGTGGAAAAGTCTCAATCGGAAAGGGTGCGGCCTTGGGCAGGTTGAGAAGACACACCTGCATTGCATTTGCAAGTGCAAACAGACGTGTCTGAACGTGGACGTATTCAACGCCCCACACGTTCAGCACCCAATTGAGTGAGTCACATGTGACAAAACAACTTTTATTTAATAAAAAAAATAAAAAAAAACTTACAACAACAAACACTCGAGCACACAAATATACGACATATGGACCAAGATTCAAGGACCACCAGCCTCCACACCAACTATGAATCAAGGTATGTCAAATATCTAGTGCATTAATACCATACAAATTACCTAAATCCCACACATTTTAACACTAACGGATGTGATAAACACAAACACCCTAAGTATCACACAAACACACACACACTGATCTTGAGATTCTTGACACATACACACAAATACACCTTTTTTTTCATGCAACAATCACCCTACTTCTAAACCTCACCAATAACGCCTCCTTTATCAATCAAGCATATACAAACTATGGGCTGCGCACCCGTGCCCTCATGGTAAGTCGATGCGTATTCCCAGAGTCCCAAACTAGGCATGAAGAGTTTGAAAAATTATATCTGACAAAGCATTACTCTCCGTCAGGAACAAACATTCACAAAGAGCTTTGGAAGCTGAAATGTGCTCATTCCTAGAGTTCCAGACCAAGTTTATAGATTTTGGGTCTTTATGGAGATGCTTCTTTAATCTGGCTATGGCGTCTTCCTTCCCATCCGCTCCGTCTTGTCTAAACCAGCCTCCCCGCAACTGATCGTCCTCCTCCTCCTCCTCGTCCTTTCTTTAAGAGGAAGGAAAAAAGAAAGACACAGCTGAACCTTAGGTTTTCCTTGAAGAGTGGGTGGAGTTGAGAGCCTCAGGTGTGGAAACATTGTCCAGGGACAACTTACCCGGAACTAAATGGAATGTCGTCAATTCCATTCTCAACCAAAATGGCAGCCATTTCTGTTGAGACATCTCCAATCTGCCCTAGGACTCGCACCAAGTGCCCATGAGGCACAGTCGAATTTTTGTCCCAACCATCAATCCGCACGATGAATCTTCGCTTTGCCAATTGTGATACTTGTCGTGTGCGTAACCGAATCTGCACAACCAATCAATCGGTCAGACCAGTCACACAGCAAGACATTCTGAAACCCCGCTTCCTCTGGTCAACTGTACACTTCATCCCATTGGAGAGACCAAGAAATGGAGCCCTTGTCAAACCCAGCCTGGAAACAACACTGCAAAGACTTCATGCACAGCGAATAGCAACGATTCCCCCATTCTCCTAATGGTAACAATCCAACTAGCACACACA